ACATTGGGGGCTCAGCCCAGCCCTTAAAACTTCATATGACAATAAAAACTGTTCTTGTGGCAAGAGGTTTGGGTCGTGATGGACCGCAGCCTCCTGCCAGAGGGGAGAGTCTGAAACAGTTTGTGTCCGGGGTGGGAGGGGTCAGCTGCAATGTTTCCTGCACGCCTCAGAGTCCTGGAGGCATGCAGGTCCTGAAAAGAAGGAAGATTGCAGCCAATCACCTTCTCTGCAGAGTGAATGATATGCTGCAGCCTGCCCTTGTCCCTGGCGGTGGCAGTAGCGTACCAGATGATGGTGTAGAAGTGCACCATCATTGTCTTTGGTAGGCTGAACTTCTTCAGCTGCCGCAGGAAGTACAACCTCTGCTGGGCCTTCTTGGTGAGGGAGATGATGTTCAGCTCCCACCTGAGGTCCTGGGAGATGATGGTCCCCAGGAAGCGGAAGGAGTCCACAGTGTGACTGGGGGAGGGTGGGGCTGGGCTCTTTCTGAAGTCCATGACCATCTCCACTGTCTTAAGAGCGTTGAGCTCCAGACTGTTCTGGCTGCACCAGGTCACCAGATGGTCGATCTCCCACCTGTAGGCGGACTCATCCCCACCAGAGATGAGCCCAACGAGGGTGGTGTCATCCGCAAACTTCAGGAGCTTGACAGACTGGTGACTGAAGGTGCAGCTGTTGGTGTACAGGGAGAACAGAAGGGGGGAAAGAACGCAGCCTTGAGGGGAACCGGTGCTGATGGTCCTGGAGTCAGAGACATGTTTTCCCAGCTTCACATGCTGCTTCCTGTCTGTCAGGAAGTCAGTGATCCACCTGCAGGTGGAGTCAGGCACGTTCAGCTGAGAGAGCTTGTCCTGAAGCAGGGCCGGGATGATGGTGTTGAAAGCAGAGCTGAAGTCCACAAACAGGATCCTGGCGTAGGTTCCTGGGGAGTCCAGGTGCTGGAGGATGTAGTGTCCTGTTGGCTCTGTAGGCAAACTGCAGGGGGTCCAGGAGTGGGTCTGTGATGGATTTCAGGTGGGACAACACATGGCGCTCAAAGGACTTCATAACCACAGATGTCAGGGCGACGGGTCTGTAGTCGTTTAGTCCAGTGGTCCTTGTTTTTTTGGAGACAGGGATGATGGTGGAGACTTTGAAGCAGGCTGGCACATGGCATGTCTCCAGTGAGGTGTTAAAAATGTCTGTGAACACCGGGGACAGCTGATTGGCGCAGTGCTTCAGGGTGGATGTGGAGACAGAATTTGGTCCAGCTGCTTTTCGAGGTTTCTGCCTCGTGAACAGTCTGTTGACGTCCCTCTCCAAGATGGTGAGAGTGGGAGGAGGTGGGGGATGAGATGGTGGACTGTGGCCGATCAGCGGTGTGACGGGGGATGGTGTCAGGTCTGTCCCATTGTCTTTCAAAGCGACATTAAAACTGGTTAAACACGTTGGCAAGGTGTGAGTCACTCAGTACGCCACCCAGCTTCTGGTACAGGCCATGGTTATCTCTCGCATCAACTATTGCAATGCCCTCCTAGCAGGTCTCCCAGCTTGTGCGGTGAAACCCTTACAAATGGTTCAGAACGCAGCAGCGCGTCTGGTTTTTGATCAGCCCAAAAGGACTCATGTCACTCCATTACTCAGTGACCTCCACTGGCTCCCCGTGGCCTCCAGAATCAAATTCAAGTCACTAATGCTTGCATACAGGGTGACTACTGGGTCTGCACCCATCTACCTAAACTCCATAATACAAACTTACGTTCCTTCTCAGCCGCTACACTTCCTCTTATAACACCTCTAACTCCTAACCTCTAACATGCACTTCCTGTGCTCTTCTTCTTCTATCCCCTACAATGATCTTGTTTTGATTGCACTTTTTGTTAACTCTTACTTCCTTCCCTAGGTATCTACCCCATTGATGTGATATGTACTATGAGCACTTACTAGTATTTATTGCTGCTAGTATGTTGTAGATCTGTAGTTGATGCTCTGTTGATGCTTGTATGTTGTTCCTCAAATGTAAGTCGCTTTGGATAAAAGCGTCTGCCAAATGAGTAAATGTAAATGAGTCGTTCATGGATTGGGGGGATTTAGGTTTGTTGCTGGTGATCTGTCTGAAGCCTCTCCAGACAGAAGAAGAGTCATTATTTGAGAACTGGTGTTGTAGTCTCTCTGCGTACAGCTGTTTAGCATCTCGCACCACCTTGCTAAACCTGTACTTTGACTCCTTAAACCTGACTCCAAAACGCCTCTTCCTTTTCCAACTTCAGCTGTCTGAGCTTAGCTGTGAACCAGGGTTTGCCATTGTTATAACTCACCCTGGTCCGTGTTGGAATGCAGCTGTCTTTACAGAAGCTGATGTAGGACGTCACAGCCTCTGTATACTCATCCAGACTGTTGGTAGCAGTCCTGAAAACATCCCAGTCAGGAGAGGGGTTTGTAGCCAATTCTGTGGTCTGGTCTCTGCCACACCGACCACTGGTCGCAGCCTTGCTGTCCCACGAACCACTGGTCGCTACCACTAGGGGCGCTAAAGATAGTGGTCGCTGCCACACTGACCACTGGTTGCAGTTGGTTATATCTACTGTAATACATCTTTATCATAATTCTTTGTTAAAATATTATGGATTATGCCTATTGTTATTGTTGCACTATATATTTCAGTTTGTGTGGTTATACCTACAGTAATAGCCTACATCTATCTTTAGTCCTTGCCTTATAACAAGGCCTGTGTTATCACCTCTGAATGAAAGAGTGTGTGTGTGTGTGTGTGTGTACATCTTTCTATATCACAATACTTTGTAAAATATACTCTATTATATCTTATTGATGCACTGTAGGCATACAGTATATTGCAGTTTGTGTGGTTGTAGCCAATCTACAGTAGGCTAATACATCTATCTAGATCACAATACTTGATAAATATAGCCTACAATATTATCGATTATGCCTATATTCTTATTGGTGCACTGTATATTGCATTGGTTAACCTGCAGTAATAAATCTCTCTATATATTTGGTTCTTGCCTACAAGAAGAAGGCCAGTGTTGTCACCTGTGAAGGAAAGTGTGGTGACCACTTGATGGTTGAATCCAAGCTAGACTGATTTTAACAATAAGAATATAGTTAATCAAAAATTAGTAGGCTATATTTAACAAAGTATTATGATCTAGATATATTTGTTACTGTAGATAGGCTATAACCACACAAACCGCAATATATAGTGCAACAATAAGAGTAGGCAAGAGTTGGCATCGATAATAGTATATTTAACAAAGAATTATGATAAAGATGTATTACATAGTAGATACAACCAACTGCAACCAGTGGTCAGTGTGGCAGCGACCACCGCCTTTAGCGCCCCTAGTGGCAGCGACCACACCGACCGGTGTGGCAGCAACCCAAGACTGTGGAGCCTCGTCTCATGCCCTCTCTCACCAAATTAAAAGATTAAGTCTGGTTCGCGATGTCTTCTTCATACTTTGGTGTTTTTTTAATTGAATAACGGCAACTATGCGAATAAAATACTATGTATTCATTTCCAGGCCATTTTATCAACTTAGTTAGCCATTTAACTTTGGAAAGTATTGTTTAAGGTTTCAAAACTTAAAACCTCCAGACCTCAATTTTTTATGTTGCATAGGGTATCTTTCCCTAAATTATGACATTTGTTCCTCCAAATGAAATTAAATAAGATCTTATCTAATTCTTTGTATATTTCAGTAGGCATTTGGTCAGTGATGAGGATGCATAGATATGGATATTCCCTCAGTATTAGAAAGTAGAACTCTACTATTCAGTGAAAGATGCCTCATCCACCACATGTTGAACCTTTTTCATTATTTGTTTAATCATAGGGCTGAAGTTTAGGTTATTGCAGAGTTTTTCATTCTTATCACACCCAGGTATGTAACTGGGTTCTTCACAGGGATACCATATTGTTTTTGTATTATTGTCTTTACACTTGTTAAAGCACTTTGTAACTTGTTTTTGAAAAGTGCTCTACAAATAAAGATTATTATTATTATTATTACCATTAACTTCTGATAGTTCACATTCCTTAAGTGGTAGCCTAATAAACAGATTTGTTCAAGTTCATTCTTAAGCCTGATACAGTAGAACATTTCTCAACATATCTAATTGCTTTCATCCATTCCTCTCTATTAGACAAAAACATTTTATCATCTGCCAGTTGAGATAATTTAAATGATCTAAGGTCACTTTAGGTCTACTTTGGAACCATAAGGAACTGACCTCTTTTAATACAGCCACAGTTTGTGTGACAAGGAACAGAAAGGAGCCTTCCCTTAGAGACTGTGATAGTGACCAGTGGCCCGTTTGGCAGCCTGGCAGCAAGGCAGCAACCAGTGGTCTGTGTAGCAGAGACCAGTATCTTTAACGCACCTAGTGGTAGCGACCAGTGGTCTGTGTGGCAGCGACCAGACCACATAATTGGCTACAACCCTTGCTGAAACATCATGCCCAGGGTTTATGGCGCCGCTGATGTAGCCTATACAACCACAGAATTTCAACAGAATATTCCTGACGTTTGCTTGTGGTAATTCCCTTGCGAAACATTTTGGTTACGATGTAGGCCTAGTTTGAGTTACGAAATGTGATTAATCTGATCAAATGTGTCATATGCTATGATCATGTGCTGCTGCTGCTGCCACTGTTAGTTCGGGTGAACCTGCCCATCATCAGCTAAGGCATATGTAGTTTGTTAACTCTGACAATAGCTGAGCTGTTTGTAGTTGAGTATGAGATGTCCTAAATAACTTACTGAAGAAATGCATGTGTTAATTTCTATCCTTTACACAAGTATTTTCACAGTAGGGTTTTATTTGCCATTGAGTGAGACCTGACTGAATTAGTTTTGCAGTTTGGCACCCGGAATACATGGTAGAGTAAGACCAAGATCTTTCTATTTTCCTGGTCTCTGCTGAGATGCGCAAGAGTTTCAGCCTTTTAATTTGGGTACTTTTGTAAATGTCACCATTTATTAAAAATGACACTGCGTATACTTTGCGAAACAGAGAACCTGGTTTATTACCATTCAACTCCATCCACCACAGATATTACAGAGCAGATTCACAAGTATTAAGCTTTTTTATATAACAGCAGCTGCTTATTTTCCGCACTCCATTCCCCTGACCCCCCCAATCCGCCTGCCTCCTACTAGGGAAAAGCATTATAGGTGCACAATTTTATTTGGTGTGAAGACTGGCCCCTCAAATCATCCAGCTGTAATCCGTCTCACGGTGAGGTTTTTTGTATTAATGTAGGATTTGGTACATTTTTTTTTTTTTGCAAATATGATTGACATCCACCTTCATTCATCGCAGGCGCCAGGCTTCTTATTTCCAGACAACAGAAGAGATCTGACATTTAGAAGAGGGGGAATTACGACTGTCTACTGTATAAAAAATGTACAGTGGCTTTATTGACATACATTCCATAGGTTTAACAGCTGCAAAATAGGAGGCACACCCAGTATTGCACTTCATTAAAAGTTCTGGCTCAAAACATAACCCAGAATATCAAACAAAATTGAAGTGAAGAGTAGCAACTTCGGAATACAGCTATTTTGAATAGTATCATTATATACAAGATTAGATAAATCGTACACTATTTTCCTTCCTCCCAAACATAATATTCTTAACAGTCTTTTCCACCCACTCTTTTTTTTGTCCGTCAACCCATGATGCACTTGACAGTGGAGAATACTGTACAAGATTACGAAAAAAGGTTTACATACAACAATATTTTTAAATTTATAGTTAGGAAGCTGGAAATACGGCCTGTTCCTTTTTTTTTTTTTTTAAACCAATGCTGATCCACAGTTGCCTTTAAGCAAATTTATTTCATATTCAATGTTTAATCTTGTATTGTTACACTTCAGTGATCAGGTGTGCAACGTCTATAGAAGCCGAGGGAATACAACGGCCGCATGCAAACACGTCACAAGTTATTTTCTTTTTTTTTCTTCTTTTTTAAAATTCTATTGTTCATTTTTTCCCCATTCAGGTTACTCTGAATCCAAAGGAGCCACAGCTCGTGTTTGTAGCAGAGCCTGGATACTGATGTTGGTAGAAGAGCAGACCTGAGGACTCTTGGCGTAGAGCAAAAACCTGGTTCAGCGTCCAGGAGACTTGACAATGCAAGAGCCAAGCTTCGCGGCTGAGCTTCAGCAGCAGCTGGAAATCACAGTAGACAAACTGGTTTTCAGTAAAAGGCTTGTGTTGTTTAGAAGGTGTGGGCATTTCTGCAAACCCCACAGCCCAGGGCGAACTCCTCCCCCGTTGGTGGGTGAACCACATGCAAAGGGCATTCGGTACCCTCCAGCTGCTTGCCTTTGGGTCCTGTAATAGAAAGGACATATTTTTTCTTAATCGTATTTCCGCCTGGTAATAAGTCATGTGCACTCTGACTAATTTAACAGAGAGTGTAGTCAACAGAATCGTTAAGCACCTGCAGGACAATGGGGAAGTTCCTCCTTGGGGACACTGGTCATCCTCTGGAAGTCATCATGGCAGGCGTTGCAGAAGTGTGTGGTGCCAAAGCAGAAGAAAACAGCCACTGAGCAGCAGTACCTGCATTTATACTCCAGGAAGTCTGTGCCATGTTTGGAGCACATCTGGTGAAAAGTAAAAAATAATCATCAGGGGTGGGATTATATTTTTGAGTAAAGAGTACAGATAAGTTTTTCATCAAGCTTTCAAAAGGTAGTTACACATTTTGGGAAATATGCTTCTTGATGAAAGTGAGACGAAAATATTGATACCAGTCTCGTCTCTGGAGCAAGTAATTCCCTGCAACACTTACTACAGATGAAACAAATAAGATATTAAAAGTTTATTAGTGAGCTTAAGAGGTGCTGGTAGGCGATTTTGTTACCTTCAGGCAGAGCCAGGCTTGCCTTTTACCAAACATTTCAGTCTATGTGCTAAGCTAATCGGCAGCTCATTCTAGTTTTAGATTTAGTATACAGACATTAGAGTGGAATCAATCTTCTCTCCAACTCTTGGCAAGAAAGACAATGTGTATTTCCCCCCCCAAAAAGATTCCTTTGAATTGGCCATACTATAGCCAGGATCCTCACAGGCATCGTTTACCCACCTGAGCCCTGGAGACATCTGAGCACGCTCCACAGATCAGCTCACTGGGGTCGTAGTCATCTCCCTGTCCTGCCTCTGCATCGCAACGAGCCTCTCCTCCAAAATAGGCCTGGAAATAAAGGGTTAACTATTAATTCTCAACCCCTAAACAACATTTAAATAAAACATGACTTTAGTTTATATAGTACCTTCTTGCACTTGTAGCAGACATAGTATGCATATCTGTTCATGGCAAAGCCTGCAGGGTCGTTGTGGAAACGTGCTCCTGGTGTAGTTATTGCCTCGCTCTTATGTAGACCCTCATACTCCAGCCTCATTAGAGCCTTTCTCCTCACATCCTCATAGAGCTCCTTAATTGGATCGAGCAGGTCCTTGATCACAGAGTGATTGATTTTGTTCTGGAGGCAAACAATGAAACAAACAAAACAGCACATGTTCATGAACAACATTTGACACAGATGACAGTGTCATAGTCTGTTTGGGAAGGCCACACACCAGACTGGACTTGTTCAACAAGGCATTTAAGTAAACTGAGCTCAATCAACTTCAAGGTGTGGTGAAAATAGTTTCCATCCCCTTTGTTAATCTCTTTAGTCAGAGAGGCTCAAGTAACATCTTACCTTGCAAATGGGACACAACATAAAGCCGAACGTGATTCGGGGCCCGAGCCAGCGATTTTCAAGAACACGACGAGTACACTGAAGGTGGAACACATGAGTGCAGTCCAGCTGAGAACAGAACAAAGAGTTAAACATTAAATGAGAAAAGTGAAGTGAGACTCTCACGTAATGGACAAATGCTTTATCTTCACAACTACCTGTACAGCAGGAGCAGCAGAGAGGGCCTCTGTGAAGCAGATCATACACATGTCATCTGCATCCTGTTTCAGGCAGCCAGTGTTCTTGTCACAGCCATGCAGACATGGAAGGCAGGCCTCCTCATTCTTGACTCCTCCACAGGGGTGTCCACAAGGATGAGTTTTACTGCAGGCCAGTTTGGCATACTCCTGAGGGAGACAACATTAGAGTACAGTACTTAAAAAATATACACTTTACTGCTTTAATATGTATCTTGTGTAGGTATTTGTTCCTCTCTTAAGTGGTGTCATCCATTATATGCATGGCTCGTCAATGAAGGGAATCAATGAAATTTATGGTCTCAAAGGACGGGATCCTTCAGCTCTATCAGGCTTGAGTTTTAATCAGTACTCAAGTATTATAAATGTTCTACAATACTCAAAATACAAAACCTCAATCCTCTCTCCAGGAAAAAGATTCTAGTCCAAGTTTGGGAAAGGTACTCATGCATCTGGTATCTGTATTTTGAATTAGGCACAATGTTTTAGCAAAACTGGTTTAGTATTTTTAATCAATATAATAGCATATAATGAACAAAGAGAAAGGGATTGTTTACAGAATGGCTAGCAAATGTTGGTTAAAACAGCAGCACAATAATTTGGATTTGGTTCTTTATTTTTTATACTGCTTTTATTAGTTTTGTAAACGTGTGTGTATGTTGAACTTTGTAAAATAAAACAAAAATAATTTTTTTTTAGAGCTTCAACTTCCCTATCGAAAACAAAACAGAACCAGATGGTCAAATTTTAATGAACTACACAGATTACCAGCAATGACAAAAGACATCCGAATAATTAGTGGTTAAGTTTCCTTGTTAATAATTTATAAATACCTGGCAGTCTGGGTCTGAGCAGACACTGCCCACTGCAGACAGCTCGGTTCCACTCCTCGTACCACAGAACCTGCAAGCGTCTGAGCTGCTGGAGGCTGGTTTACCTGAAAAAGTATTGTTATAACAC